TTTAAGCAATATATTATTGTCGTTGTATAAACACCAGCTTGATTAAATAGAAAACCTTGGCATGATCTGTGTTCTGCAGAAAATAATCGTTCTACACTGCACGACCTTGCCGATATGCAGGTGAATATATTATGATTCGCAAGTGCAGGTTCCTGAAGATTTCTCATTACAAAATAACGTATTCAATGTTTTCTTATTGTATTTGGAAAACAGAATTTAGAATAAATAATAGGGTTTTACATTATTATTATGAAACAGGTAATTATTTAACGTTCCCTTGATTTATTGCAAATGCTGAACTTAAGGTGTTGAAAGATTTACGACGAGTTCGAGGCACAGTAATGTGCCAGTACTTTTAGTAAACACTAGGGTGTAACCAGCACACTGTTTCAGAGTCACTGTTACATATTTTGTCATAATAAATATTTATCCTCAAGCAATTGTAAAAGTATCTGCCAATTAATTGAAATTTATAAGATAAGCTTGCATAAGGCCAAATATTAACAAAAATGCGTCTATATGGAAAAAGTTCACTAAGAGAGAAATGCAATTTGTTGTCATACTTTTTATACGTCACAAGACAAATGATATTTACATTTTCACATAAACCTAGATATACGAAGTTTAGTCATTTGAGCATCGTGATAATTGTAAAGTGATCCCTGGAATGTGAGCGAGGGTCCATTTTGCATCTGAAGTTACTAATCTTTTATGAGAAACTGCCAAGTCGAGTTTGCTAAAACAACTTTATTTTCCAATGATAGCAAGACATAGCGGGAGAAATTGAGTAAGCGGGAACAAATAAATTAGCGAATCATTTCTTACAATATTTTTTTGAGTCGCTCATTCCACGGATTAAAGTGTAAATTTTGCGTAACCAAAATATTTCAATGACCAGCAAATTCCCATTTCAGCCGTTTCCTAAAGTATTTTAGGAGTTAAGGCGAACGTTGATCATTTAAGGTAACGAGTAACACCAACATCACAGTTACATGTTAGCTTCTGGGAAGATTTGAAAATTCTTTCTAGAAGTTCACGTGCAATTTATTAATTAAAATTCTATGACGCATCTTGTATCTCTTATTTCCATCCATGAATATTTAGTTAACACCAAAAATTACGCACTGCGTAGTTGCTTTATTACAGCAGTATATTAATGGCGTGATTAAATCCATATGTTGCTATTCAGAATGGCAATAGTAGTCCGTCTGTACAGGTGCGAACCAAAACTAAATTGCTTTTCAGTCCAGAAGTTAATGTATGGTCATTGCTTCATTACTCCATTAGCCTCGCCGCACATTAACCCATAGCATAAGCTTCGGTGTGCAGGTAATAATGATGAGGCTTTGCTATAGCGGTGGGTTTAATGATAAATGTTAAACACAATAGTTTTACGCTGAAGTCTAAATCAACGACAGTCTATGCTGGTATGGGCATACTACCACTCTGGACGGTGAAGCATATATTGTCATTTGTGTACCAATAGTTAACGCCGCTTGTTGATTCATGAGTCAAACACTATTTATTCCAAATTACACACGGCATAAACGTTTTTGAACAGAGACGAACGAGCTATCTCTCCTTTATGGCACAACTTGAGTACACTGCAGACAAAAATCAAAATTCATTGTAACAACATCCTGACCATCTTGCGCGTAGTACCTTACTGTATCTGATTCATTGCAGCTGAGAAGAGTTGGTAAAATCAAAAAGTTCTTTGTCGTACACCAAAAATGTTTGCACCACTTGTAACTTGAAATAAAATAGTACCTTGCTCATTTTAAATTGTCGTTTACATGAAGCATATAAAAATGAACTTTATAAGTCAGTAAACTATGAGTTAGCGTACCGTGTATAAATATACGTTTTATGAAGCACCATGCCCTCACCAATTTGCATTTACTGACTTGGAACTTCTCATGTTCATTTTGATATAGGGAAGCTCCATACGAATATTCAGTATAAACGCCAATTTCATTGTACACAATTTGCAAGCATATCGCGCCATTAACAAACATTGCTGTATCACAACAAATATCATCATCATCATCATCATCATCTTCCATCGCCGCTTCTCCTTTCGGGTCGCGGAGGCAGACGCGTCA